TATATATATATATATATATATATATATATACCTATTAAATTAAATTCAAACGACTTTCAAAAATAAAACGGCCGACAATAATTGGATAAAGAAATAATTGTTTAGGAAAGAAAACAAATATGAAAACAAGTCTTTATTTCTAAAATCCAGAATTAAGTACACAAAAGAAATGGAATGCTGTTGCTCGTGGGTTGTTGGATTGTAGTGGATGGAGCTGTTTTCCATGGATTGTTGAAATGATATAGATGGAATGCGATTTTCCAAAGGTTTCAAGGTGTCATGGATTGAGAAGTGCCAGCCACTTATTTAAGATTATTTCCATATGCAATAATAATATGCTCTAGGTTGTTTGGACATGTACTGAAGGATAGAAAATGCACCCATATTATCTGTAGATAATAATAATAATGAAGTCGAGGAAAGAAGGGAATGGGATAAACCAGACCTAAGATGGATAGAAGTTGTACAAAAACATTTATGCAAATAATTTTGACTTATTATGTGGCACTCAACGAAGAAAAAAAAGGAGAATGAGGATTCATAAAGCCAGTCACCAATACTTGGGTTAAGAGTTATAATGATGATGATATCTTCTATAACCTTTGTGAATTTGTATTTTTTTTTTATTTTTTATTTATCTAGTGCAATTTTGGCACAGTTGAAGCATATCATATCTTCTGTCACTGTGTTTTGCATAACTTTATGTATGGTTAGATGTTGCTTTTGATATACTATACGCTGGAGACACTAGCGTTATTCACCAGAGTTTGACTGAACGGCATGAGCTGCTTCATAAGGTTGTAAAACCATTAAGGGGTCGCTTAGAAATTTTGGTGCCTAACGATGGTCTTAACTTACGTCACCCAGTTGGTAAGCTTACTGATTTTTGCTATGTTTTCATGATATTGCAGCTAGATTATTCTAAATGAGAGGCGCATTTAGTTTTAAATCAACTAGTTTCTATTCTTATCTTTTTTAAAGGGAAAGTACCACATTTCTTATGGATTTACATATCTAACAGCTAAAGTTTAATATTTACATTTATTACATCTTGGTACTATAAACCTATGTATAAGAAAGTGCATTTGACTTTTAGTGGATTAATAAAGGGGTATTTTGGATTTAATGTTAAAGAATTGAGTGTTCTGAATGTGAACATTAACATTTAGGTGTTAGATATAAGCCGGTCGATTTCAAAAAAAAAAAAGTGATGTGTGTAAATACATAAGAATTGTGTGGCATGTATGTACATTCCCGTTTTTTTAAATTAAATATATTGGAAAATGCAATTTCCATTTTTCGGGCCATGTTCCTTTAATATATAGTCTAGTTATGAATTAGAAATTGTGATCCTATTTGTGCATTCACGTATTCCCATTATTCTTAACAGGTTTGATTTACATATTCTTTGCCATCTTTTTGTTCAGACAATTTTGAGGGTTGACCTCTCGCGTTCATAATGATTTTGCAGGTCAACCATGCTGGTCTATTATTGTCAATTGTGTAGAAGAGGTTGAAAAGTTTTTTAAAGAAACTGTTGAAAACAGGTTTTTCAATTCTCCCACTAATCACATGTTTCTTATATTAATATGTAAGAAAGTAACCATGTTGCTTGTTAATTTAAGTTGTCTTTCCGTAGGCCACTGATTTTTTAACTTTTTTTTTCTACTAAAAATCCAAATCATCAATTGCATATGTTAGTTTTTGGTTCTTTGGCATCATAGTGTTTTTTTTGGGGCATTTACCTACATTTCATCCAATTCTTATGTATTTACTTATCTAGTACCGAAATTTTACTTTTAACATTTATACCACCCAAATAAAATGTCACCATTTCAACTTTTAAAAAGTGAAATTCACCTTTTTCATGCACCTTTTAATGCACAGGGAAGGTGGCATATATGTAAAAATTTGAAGCTTCGGTCTTAGATATGTAAAGTTGTCCTCAAACCCGGATGAGAAAAGTGGAGGGTTGCGTTAGGTAGTCGACAACCATCGTAAAACTTGTCGAAAAAAATCATGACATGAATCCTTTTGATCATTGTGTAAGTGCTAGGGCGTCCCCTGGAAGCGACGCGCTGTTGTTGACCTCATTTTTGTGAGGTTTGGTGCAAGGGCCGCTACACCGGCTCCCGGGTATAGTGTTAAATAAGTAAGGGTTCCCACATTGCGGGCGAATGCGGGTAAAGAAGTTAGTCTATAAAATTAATATTTGGATAAAATCTTAGAATATATGTATAATAACAAGTAAATTAATGAAATTAGTTGATATTATGGTTCATAGGAAAATAAATATCATATGTAGTCAGGAAACCAAATGGGTTGGAGAAAAGGCTAAGGAGATTGATAATTTAGGTTTCAAAGTTCGGTATAAAGGTAAGAGGCAAACTAGAAATTGTGTAGCTGTAATTATAGATAAGAGTTTGAAAGATAATATTGTAAAAATAAATAGAGTTACAGATAGAATCATTGCCCTTAAGATTATTGTTAATACTAATATTTTAAATATTATAAGTATTTATGCTCCCAATTAGGTTTAGATATAGGTTCGAAAGATAAATTTTGGAATGACTTAGAAAATTTAATACAAATGATACCTCTTGAAGAAAGAATTTGTACTGGAGGAGATTTAAATGGACATGTCGGTAGAGTGGAAGAAGACTTTAGATATATTCATGGTGGCTGCAGTTTTGGAATGATTAATGAAGAAGATAGAGTTATACTAGATTTTGATTTAGCGTATGATTTTGTTATTGCTAATAATTTATTCAACAAAAGAGATAAACATATTATTACTTATAAAAATGGATCTAATAAAACACAAATTGATTTTCTTATGAGTTCAAGAGATCGTCGAGAATGTAAAGATTGTAAGGTCATTCCTAGTGAGGATTTAAGCACTCAATATTGTTTATTAGTTCTAGATTTTAAGATGTAGAGTTGTAAAATAAAAAATACTAGAAATCATCCTCGTAGAATTAGATAAATGTACCATAAAGACAAATAAAATCATTTTTACGAGCAAAATTCAAGATTTCAAAATTTATGATGTTTATAAAGAAGCAAATTCTATGTGAGGTAAAGTAAAAAAACTATTAAACAAATGACAAAAGTTGTACTTGGAGAATCAAAAGAAAAAGTTTTTATAAATAAAAGTAGTTGGTGATGGAATAATAATGTGCAAGAAAAAATAAAGTATAAAAGTTATGTTATAAAAATTGTTTTAAATATAAAAGCTTAGAGAACTAGGAAAAATATCAAACGGCTCGTATGGAGTCTAAGAGAGTAATTTGTGACGCTAAAAATTATTTTTTTAGTGATCATTATAATAGATTAGATACTAAGGAAGGTGAAAATATATGTATAAACTGGCCAAACAAAAAGAAATGATGTACGTATAATTATAAATAAGAATTTGAAAGATAATGTAGTAAAATTTAATAGAATTTGAGATTCCCCTAAAGATTGTTGTTAATATTAAGATTTTTAATGTTATAAGTGTTTATGCTCCTCAAATACGTTTAGATATATGTTCAAAAGAAAATTTCTGGAATGACCTAAAATATTAATGCAAATGATACCTCTTGAAGAAAGGAAGAACCATATTAAATTTTTTTTTAGCGTATGATCTTATTTTTGTTAATATTTTATTTAAAAAAAGAGATGAACATATTACTATTTATAAAAATGAATCAAATAAAACACAAATTGTATATTTTTTTATGAGAAAAAGAGATCGTCGAGAGTGCAAATATTGTAGGGTCATTTCACATGAAAATTTAAGTACCTAACATCGAGTATGAGTTTTGGATTTTAAGATAAAGAGTTGTGATATAAAAAATACAAGAAAAAAATGTCATAGAATTAGATGAGGCACCTAAAAGACATGAATAAAATTATTTTTATGAGTAAATTTCAGGATTTCAAAATTTGGGATGTTCGTAAAGAAACAAATTTTATGTGAAAAAAGTAACAAGAAAAGATAAAATATAAGTGGCAACAGATGTACTTGAAGAATCAGAAAGAAAATTTTTTATAAATAAAAATAGTTAGTGGTAGAATAATAATGTGCAAAAAAAATAAAATATAAGAAGTGTTATAAAAAATAGTTTAAATATAAAAGCTTTAAAAATTGAAAAAAAAAATAGAATGTGACATGCAGGAAGTCTAAGAAAATAATTTGTGATGTTAAAAGTTATACTTTTAGTGAAATTTATAATAGATTAAATACTAAATATAATGAAAAATATATGTATAAACTAGTCAAACAAAGAGATGAAAAGTAAAGATTTAATTCAAGTCTATTAAAGATGAAAATTAAAAAGTGCTTTTATTATAGAAAGATATTAAAAATAAATAGGGAGCTATTTTGATAAAATTTTCAATAAAGTTTCTGGAAAGATGATCGGCCTTGGTGATCTTAACATCATTACTAATAATAAAACATTTTTTTTAGCGTCATATTAGTAAAAAAGAAGTTGATGAGGCTATAAAGAAAACCAAGAGCGAAAAACTAGTAGAATCTAATGATATCCTAATTAAAGTGTGAAATACTTAAGAGATTTGGGAGTTTCTCGGTTTACAAAACTCTTTAATATTATTTTTAAAAATAAAAAGATGAATGAGATGTGGAGAAAGAGTATTTTGGTCTCATTTTTAAAAATAAAGGAGATGCACAAGAGTGCACAAATTATGGAGGAATTAAGTTGATGTGTCATACTTATAAAATTTTGAGACTCCTCCAAACAATTCTCAACGTCATAACGAATAGAATTATAGGATTCTAGAAAAACGGAATAATAAGTTTAAGCATAGAAGCAAAATAAAAAATAAACTACAAAAACACACAAGAATTTTACGTGGAAAAACCCAAGAACGTGAAAAAACCACGAGGTCATGAAAATCAGATAGTTTTACAAATGACTCACATAAGTTTCTTCTCAAGACTCACACGAAAAAACTTTCAGGACGCTCCACAATCTTCCTTCTGCAATCTGACACGAACAACACACACCGAGATCTCATAAATCCTCCTCTTCAACTCTTCTCTCCTTCACAAGGAACTTGTTGAAGAACATCTGAGAAAGTCTAAAAGATAAGCCACTCAAAATTGGCTTAAAACCAGAAATTTTGCGTACCAACTCTTCGGGCGCAAAAACGCTCGAACTGGGCGCAAAAGTGTCCGTCTCTCGGGAAGCAGAATCATGTCCTGCATAGTTGGGCGCTTGGGCACCTAAGGGGAGCAAAGCGCCCCCTTCTTCGTCAAGCGCCTAAACATGGGAGCAAAGGTTTCCAAAGGAAGTGCAAAGGCACCCCCTTCAGAAATAATGCCCACATGGTATTTAAATCCTTTCTTATTTTAAATATTTTCCTAAAATTTGAAAACCTGATTATATTTTATTCTCCATTCTTATTTTCATTACCTAAAGTAATTCTAGCCTCTTTATAAATAGAGGATGATGTGCTTAGAATGAGGGGTGTTGTTTTGAATATCTTAATTCAGGTTTATCCTATATTTTTTCCCTTCGAGGGGTGTATCCGAGGGATTGAGTGGTGCTCCGACTCTGATTGTGTCACTCTCTCGAGGTGGTGATTATCCTTCCTCTACCCTTCCTCGTGCTTCCCACATCGCTCCTTATCACCTTATCTTACTACCGTCGTCCAAAACAACAAGGGATTACTGTATTCCAACAGTTTCAAGTGTCCACCCTCGCTGCTACCGCCCATAACAACAAGGATCTACTGTTTGCTGCAGTTCCAGCCTCCTCAATTGCCTTATCCTCCCTCGTCCTCGTTGCCCTCATTGTCCCAGCCCTCCAACTTCGCTTTCGCAGCACGCAACGCCTTCGCTTCACTGTTTTCCAGCAGCCCAGCAGCCCCAAACAACAATCTGCTGCTATTTGGACTGCCGCCCCAAGTTGTTCCAGTGGCTGCTCACCCTCCTGCCACCTCCTTACAACCGCAGGCCTCTTTCCTCAGCCACCAATGGCCGTTCAACAGGCTTCGTCCTCGTAGTCCCCCACAAACGTTTTTTAATATTTTTGTCGTCGTGTTTGTTTGTCGTCTATTTCTTGATTTTCTTGTATCGTGTTTGTAATATGTTTGGAATTCAGAAACAATATTTGTGTTTTTGTTGTGGTTTGGGTTACCTCCGGTATCACTTTCTTTTTCGGTTTTGTATCCAAAATTTTTTATAGTCATTCCCATGAAGGTTTATCTTCAACCAATGATGTTTATTGTAAGCATGTAAAATTGAGAAGGCCAAACCCACGCAAGCATTCTTTTGGTGCTAGCAAGGTGCATTCTTACTAGTGCTAATCAATTTTATCTTTTGTTAATTGGTAGATGGAAAACAAAACTATGCATAGTGATTTTCTCAGTTTTATTAGTTTAGTCCGTCTATTATTTTCATTTCATCAAGCTTTTTTTTGCCTCAGTTTCATATTTCTTGACTTTTATTTTGCATGTGTACGATAACTAAGTTTGGTTCAATATTGTTGCCCTTTGAATTGACCCTTTTGATCCTTAGTAGTCCTAGCATATTTGACTTAGTGTTAATAAGATCATTAAGTTAGCCGGTAAGACCGTATTTGACTTGGTGATTGAAATTAGCTCAATTAATCCCCATTGGGTCTAGTTGACTTTTACCTTATCACCATAGTTTTGTTACTTGATCTTGATAAACCATGAATTGCTTGTCCTTAGGGCTAAGGGTGAAGCTTTGTCATGTGGGTTCTAGGAGGGATTAATGTATGCAATCTTACCCGATGTTATTGGATAGGTTGTTTCCTTGAGCTGAACCTATAATCTCTGGATTACATTGGAGCACGCCTAACAATTCTGTCATCCATATTTTCTAATATTCCATTATCTATTGTAGTCTCTATGTTTTATGCTGTTGCCTTGTACAATAATAAATTTCTAAATTATTTGTTTCAGTATAAGGGTTTTTTTTTATTTGAAAAAATGTAAAATAAAAGATGATTATTTTTTCCGTTATTTGCCTTTTTATTAAGAGGAAAAACTCGTTCCAATCTGATTATTTCTTATCTTCTCAAGTTAAAGAGAAAGGGAGAATATTATGTCTAATATCTTTAATTATAAAGATAATTTTTAATTTTCTGTGTGTTTATTTATTACTTATCTAGGATTGTTCAGGTTGGGTTTCTCTAGAAGAGATTGGGTAGCTGCTACTGGAAATTTGATATACGATGTAGTTCTTGAAAACTTTGGTCCTTAGGCAGCAGTTAAAACCAAATTTTGAAGTTTTTTTTTAATAACCCGAAAAGGTTTAGCAGCTTGATGTTTTCTGTTGCCACAAAGCGTATATGACATGATTTGTCCGCCAATTTTTTAACTGAAGCGTCTAAACTTTTTTTTTTTCCCGGAATTTTATATGTGGTTTTATATCTGCTCCCTTTAGCTCCATGAAACTCTCTATTTTCAAAGACCAGTCATTTTTTTGCTGTAGGAAGTACTTAATAAATAACTTTTTTTCTTAGAAAATTCTAATTTTAGATTTACACTCCATGTGTGAAACTCTCTATTTTCAAAGACCAGTCATTTTTTGGCTGTAGGAAGTACTTAATAAATAACTTTTTTTGTTAGAAAATTCTAATTTTAGATTTACACTCCATGTGAAATCACATACTTTTCAAGGTTTAGTAGATGTCATTAGTTTGCATCAATAATCTTTGTCATTGGAGGAAATCTGAAGAACAAGAGCTCTTGTACATTTTTCAAATCTCCTTATTTTCAATTTCAGCAAATTAACAAAACCGTTTTGAACTATTTCCTTCTATTTCATATGTTTTTTCAATCATTCTACTCAGAGATGAGGGGATTGTGCTGAAAGACCTTAGTTCAAAATGGGAACCTGGTGACCGAAGTGGGAAATGGTTGAAGTTAAAGCCTGATTACATACATGCTGGTGCTGATCTTGATGTTCTTATTATAGGTTTGTATTTCCATCCTTTTTTTTAATTATATATCCTGTTATTAAGGATTTTTTTTTTTTTTTGTTTTTTGATATGCTGTTTTATTTTAGGTGGTTATTTTGGCTCTGGGCGTCACGGGGGAGAGGTTAGGTTAAATTCATGACGAGTATATGCTAGTCATTTGAATGCCAAATACTAGAAAGATCCTATCATTAACTGCACACTCTTTTATAGCTGTTTTATTTAAGATATATTCATCCAATTCATTTTTATATATAAAATTTGATTCAATATGCAGTGCATTTTTTTTTCCAAAATAACTTATGCTCATTCCTATTTACAGGTGGCTCAGTTTTTGGTTGGTCTTGCAGAGCGCTCTGATTCCACAAGTTTTCCCAAAAGGTGACTTAATTAATTTGATTTTTCAGCTTTATGGAAAAATCACAGAACTAGATAGAAGAAACTTTTTTTTATTTTTCTTATATTTGAACTTGTAATGTATTTATTGGGGCTTATAAATTTAAATACAAAGTTTATCAACTTCTTTTTCTATATTTTTTAAGCTAATTTTAATAGTACTAGCCCAAATGCAGGAGCCTACTTTTTTAATCAAGAGTAGTTAGAAAATAATATTAATTCTCAAAAATAATACAACAACAACAACAACAAACATTTATTCTACTAAGTGGGGTCAACTATATGAATCCTTTCTCTCTAATGTGTCCTACTGAGTGTCATATCTTCATTTAATTCTAATAAATTAAGATTATTTTTTATACAATATGCTCAAGTCTTTTTAGGTCTACCTCTACTTTTTTTAACATAAGTCAAATATAAAACATCTACTCTCCTAACCGGATCATCAGAAGGTTGACGTTTAATGTGACCAAATTATCTAAGATGACTCTCTAATCTAGTCTGCCACTTGAGCTACGCCAACCTTTTCAGGGATACATTCGCTTTTTATTTTGTCTCTAAGTGTCAAGCCACTCATTCCCCTAAGCATTCTCATCTCAATAACACTTTTTTTTTGAAGCCAACATTCTACGTCATAAAGCATTGCAAGTCTCACCACCATATTATAAAATTTTTCTTAAAGTCTAAGGTACTTTTCTATCACAAAATAGGTCTGACGGAGTCCTCCACTTCAATCATCTAACTTGAATTCTGCTAATAACATCCTCATCTATATCACCATCACTTTGAACAATAAACCCTAGATATCTAAAACATTCACTTCTTTTAATGATTTGATTACTCGTTATTACAACTCTGCCACTAGATCTACTACTTTTACTAAAAGTAGATTACATATATTCAATTTTAGAACTACTCAAATAAAGATCTTTAGACTCTAATGTTGACCTCGATAATTCAAGTTTTTCATTGAACACTTTCTCTAGTCTTATCCACAAGAAGGATATCATAAGCGAAAACCATACACCAAGGAACATCCTCTTGTAAATGTCCAGTGAGAGCATCCGTAACTAAAGAAAAAAATATTGGCTTAAAACCAATCTATGATGTAATTTAACTGAAATAGGAAAATACTTGGTCAGTCTTTCTTTTCTTCGAACACAAGGAACAACTCTATCATACATATATTTAATGACTTTAATATAAATCATATCAACATCTTTTTGTTTTTATTAGAAAAATGTTGCTTTATGGCTCAGAATGTTGGTGATGAGATAGATAGATAAATACATGTTTTTAAGTTGTGCTTTGCTTTGCATAAAGTGACTACTTGCCCAAAAATCATTCTACTCCCTACTTTTTTTTTTGAGCTACTTGAGATTGAGTCCATCTTAAAAGATTCCAACTATTACTTTGTATTATATGTTTTTTTGGTGAGCCTAGAGGTGCTTCACCGTGTTAGTCATCCTCCGTTACCACTTGTGTTGACCTACATGGTAACATTAATTGATCCACATGGTGATTAAGTTTGGATGAGTGGATGCTCCAAGAGTAATTTTTTATGACACGAACTGGTTTTTGGCATGTTTAATGACTTTTCAGCCCATAGCCACTTCAAGGAACATCAATGTTGATCTCCTTTGAAAAAGGCCAATTGGATCATCCAACTTTAGGATTTTCTCCAATGTTATATTGTGGAAATTAAATAGGGAGCAACAATGATACCGTAGTTAACCCAAACATCAATAGATAACAAAATATTATTACTTAAATTCAATTAGGGAAGTTACAACCACACAACTTAAAGGGAAATTACAAGAACATGACACATGGGGGTCTTGAATTGTGGCAGTAAAGTGGGAAGGAGTGAGCAGCAAGGAAAATGGTGGAGGTGTTGTCCAGAACGTTGGGGGAGCAGCGAGGGTGAAAGGGGTCGATATGGGAAAGGATGGGGAATATGAAGGATAAACACCACATGGAGTTCAAGAGATAATCGGAGCACCACAAAAATAAATATATAGTCTTAGGAAAACTAGGACTGGACCTCAATCCGATTGGGGGGGCAATTTCAAGCTTTGAAGGGCCGAACCGCTCCTCAGAAGCCTGGACTGAACTGGTTTAAGCGCGCCACGTGCAGACGCCCAGTTCAAGCGCCCTAGGCGCAAGCCCCCGCATCATCTGTCTGGTAAATTAAGATTATATCTTGAATTTAGGAGAATTTGTTGGAATTATGGCATTCGCCAGTTATTTTTTATTAGAACGATGAATATATTTATTATGTGGGGCATTTACATACATAACACACAATTTTTATGTATTTACACATCTCACACCTAAACTTTCACATTTACACCGATGGTACTAAAATCTTTAATGTCACATCAAAAATAGTACTATTATCATTTCGTTTGAAAAGTCAAATACACCTTTTCATGCATTGGTTTAAAGCTCCAAAATGCTATGTATGTAAATATGAAAGTTTAGATATGCGATATGTAAACATAAGAATTGTGTGTTACATATGTAATTTTTCCTTAATATGGCTGTGTTCTTAATGTTTTTTTTACTAGAATGATCTTTCTTTGATCTTTATTGAAATACTGCTTTACCTCCTTTTCTAATTATCATAAACTTTGCAGAATATAAGTGCACTATCACAAAAAGTTCAATGATTTATACACAACGCTAGAATTTTATTATCCCTGATATAGATAACTTTTTTTTAACTATTTTAGGTTCCTTTCCTTCTGTCGGGTGGGTACTGGTCTTACGGATGAGGATCTCGACGTTCTCATTACCAAATTGAAGCCCCACTTAAGGTACTTGCGTATGTCTTCTTATGTGTTACTGAAGAAGCTGACTGCATTTGTAAGAGCTATCAGATTCATGTATACTGACTGATAGATTTTTTCTTCACTCATTATTCATTTCTAATTTGTTTAAGGCATCTTAAAAATCTTTTGAAGGCAAAATCTTTTTGTCTACTAATCATCAGATCATATGATAAGAGATATATTCCTTAACAAATGCCTCTTCTTTCTTCAACTTGCTGTGTTTTAGTTGTGACTGATTTTTGCTATAGTGGGTCTTGCGAATTGAAAATACAGGAGGGAATGAATTTTCTAATTTTCACTTTAAGATTTGAAATTTTAGTTTAAAATATATTACTATAAGTTTTGTAGTTCTAGGTTTCATCTTTATGAATTCTACTTGCATTATGTGTGATTGCTCTACTGACTGTTATTTAAATCCCATGGGTTTATGGATAGTCTAACAGGAAGTTCAGAATCTGACCTATATTAAAAAAAATTCCATTCCAATTAACAATCCACGACTTACTATATACCATAAATCATTTCATATAACAATTGATAATGATGTATAATCATCCAAGGATGTCATCCAAAGTACAAGATAGCCGCAGAGGCCACTATCTTTTCATTTAATGTAAATGCAAGTTACAAAGTTGTAAATGCATATTTAACATCCAGATACATTACCATATGATCCTCATACAACATCATTGATATATCAAAATGAACATCACAATTCTATGTATCTAATATTTCATAGAATAACAGATCTAAACAAAAAACCATCTAAAACATATACGTCTTCCATATTTACACATACCTAACCAAAGGTACATCACGTCAATTTTATGCAAAATTTATTTATGACTCATCTACTCTATCAAAGGCTTCCTGAAAAATGATTATCAACTAATGGGCGAGTAATATCTAATTATGTAACTCAGTGGGTATGTTATAGTTCTAAATAACAACAAATACAATAGGAAAATAAGCAACATGCTTGATCGTCAATTAATATTACAAAGATCTATGCATAAACATGATATTTGGCATACTAATCATTATTATTGCATATATTGTAGAGTGATCTTAATATTTGCCATGTAAGTTGACCTTTGCTTTTAAATGTTATCATCATCATTTTGGATCATCAAATAAAATAGTATAGCTTTAGAACTTTAAGGCAAATAATTATAAATTCCATCTCGAGAGCCATAGTGATAGGCGACAGCAATCTGTTGCAAACCTAACTTACTGTTGACCAATACATCTCTTTGTCCACAAAGCAAGGTGCAATTATTACACCTCCTAATGTTTATTGCCAAAAGCTTCATAACATTCTACTGGTAGATATTATCTCTTTTTAGCACACTGAGGCATGACTTTTGCATTTACAATTTCCTATGGTGAAAAGGTTAAAGCCATAAAAACATAAGTGCGTTAGTGTTTCCATTCAGTAACGTAAGGGGACTCCATTTATCAACATGCACATGCACATATTCATGTAAACTTTTCTGTGCATTCATTATCTCTTGCAATAACTTTATTTGTAGGTGTTTTTTAATCTGAAATTGCATTTCATAAACTTTGCAATATCAAACTATTTAAAGTCATAGATATAGCAATATCATGCCATTTACAATCAAAAGCATAGTGATAGCATGGCGTTTAGAAACATGGTCATAAATTATAGAATAAATTTGGAATTCATTATCATAGCAGGGACATTTAAATGAAAGATATAGAATAAATTACATTTGAGGACATTAAAATATCACATCAGATCTGAAACATAACCATAATGGTGTCGTTACATGTAGAAAGGACGAAAATTGTAGAATTAACTGGAATACATCATCATAATAGTTGCATGATTTTTGGAAATCATAGACGCTAACTAAAAAATGAATATAGCATTTTATTTAAATTTTTAAAGGCTTGCATGCTCTACCTGTAGCAATGTTATGAATTTTATCAAAGAGTAAGGTAATTCATAGCGTAGTTTTTGTGTAATGAATATTTTGAAGAAGGAAACTTTAACAAACAAGTGTAAACTAATGCATGCTGGCTTGGACATGAGATTACCCACCTTAACAATATTAAGTGAACCAGCTCGTCAACCTCAACATCATATCATATTTGCTCGAGTCATACAACTAAGTAACTTATAAGTTTTTTTCCTACCATTTATCTACTTTTTCTCTTAAATCTGACATTTTCATTCATGCTCAAACATTACTGTTTTCATAAGCCTTATACATATTCATTATACCTTAATGACTGCTGTAACTTTGACTATGAGTTTTACAATACTAACATACATTTTTAAATGTTTACTTAAATTTCTAGTTAATCACAGTTATTTAAATCAAATAGTATTTATTTTCCTAAATTTTCACTGTAATAAAGCTAGTCATGTCATTATGCAAAATAGGTATAACTATGCTGTACATATAATTTGACCTTAGAGCATGTTCAATAATTATTTGGCATGTATTTATGAGGCATTCTAATTTGAAATCTTTTCTAACATGAATTTATATTGCATATTCTAAGCCATGAAGGCTTATATAATTTTCAATTTGTAACATTAATTTTTAAAGCTTTCTATGAAGAGATTGATAGGACCCTTTGACGTGGCGGCGTCTCCTGCATAGAGTGCGGGACACGGCAGCTGTAGGCTCCCTTGATCGGTTCAGCTTTGCATGAACCGGTTCAACCTAAGGTAGGAGGGGGCCAGTTGATCCATTCCCAGTGTGGGAATTGCTGCCTAACTAGGGGGACCCCACCCTTAGCTATCCTAGTAGTATTTATATGTTATTTTTGTGTTTATATGTTATTTTTTATGTATTAGGAAAGTTTTTTTATGGGAGATGCTAAAGGCGCCAGTCAGCTGAATCAACTGGCAATAATTCCCGCGGGAATTAATCAAGTCTAGTGGATCGAGCGGGAGTATTCACGAATTTTGTACGGGAGTGAGACTACCCCCCTCTTATTCCCTTATGTGCTCTTCTCTATATGGAAAAACTTTAATGGTTATTTTCTAGATTATTCCTGCCTCCCCGCCGCCTTCCTTTTGTGTAGGAGTTTCCTTGCTATTTGCTTCCTTTTTCTTCTCCAATGGGAGTCTATAAATTGTTGTTTTCTGGTTGTAGGATTTAGTTTTTGGTTGTTGTTGTGTTCAGATATCTCCTTTGGAGTCTTTTCTCCCTTGCTAGGACTGTATCCGACGACGGGTGGTGCTTCAGCTGTATCCCGCTCCAAGGTGGTGTTGTATCTCCCCTTACCTCCCTCCTGAACCTGTTCCCTGCATCCCCATAGGTCGTTGGCCACATCCTCTCATCCCCAGCCTCCTGGCCGCCCATCTATTGTCTCTGCCCCTGCTGTCCAGGTCCCTTCCTAGCCTGCCGCACTTCTGTCCCAGCCTTCATACCTGCTGTCCACCACTCCCGACCCTTCTCCACATCAAGCTGCCCCATTACAGCCATTAGCCCGGCCGTCCCAGCCCGGCCAACGGCTGCCAGCCCACCCCAACCCACCATTGTTGTACAGCACACCTAGTGCCCACCACACTCCTCCCTAATCTACTTCGCAGCCGTCAACCCTTCCCCATACCCATACCACATGGTCAACGCCACCACCACTCGCGGATCGTCTCTTCCGGTCCTAGCTGGAGATTAGTTTGTATTTGTATTTTCTTTCCAGTTTGTATCGTGTTGTAGCCCTAATTTTACATTAATAAAAGTTTGTTTTTGTATTTCCACTGAATCCTAACTAGTTCCAGGATCAGTTTTTGCATCAGTTTTATGTTGGGACAGCTGTCGGCATCTCCAGTTCTCCCTTTTTGGATTGTATCCAATGGCAAGTGGTGCTCTAGCTGTAACTCATTCTGAGGTGATAATTATCCTTGACTTTCCTTCATCCACAATCTTTCTTCTGCTAATGACATTGTTGTAACTTGCTGCAACCCACCTGGAAACCGTCCTGTGGCTGTTTTCCTGCATCCCTTCTGTCCCCCTATCCACCTTCTGCCTCCCCTTGCCAACTGCAATTTTAGCTTCCCCTTCCTACAACAATCCATAGCCTTTTAACCATCCCCCTGCCTCCCCCTGCCAACCGCAGCCCCACTTCCACTCTACAGCCAACAATCAACAGCCACCCCCCACCTTCCCCTTATCGCAGCCAACCACAACTCCATCTTTCCCTTTCTTTAGACATCCACAGCCTCAACCACCCTCCTATCCCAATTTACCAAACTGACCACCGCCCTTAGATACACTTAGTTGTGTTAACTTGTGTATCTTGTTGTATTTCCCTTTTAATTGTGTTTAGTTGTAATCTCATATTTTTTTTCAGTAATAAAAATTCTTTTTCTCATTGTTGTTGATTAACTCTGTTATCACCCCTTCAGTGTAAAAAATCATGAAGAGATATATGATTTTATCTTAATTTGAGTATGATGAAGCAAAGACAAACTCTATTCATGTATCCTTATCTAAAGTAACACTCATTCTAAATTTTCATAATTATAATAGTAAAAAGATAAATGATGTAGACATCATGCATAACTCTTGATTAGGTTTTGCTCGTAATCATTGATCATAATCAACCCTACATGATTAACTAGAGTGCTAATCATTTGGAATTTACTTTGCTTGAATAAAAGGAAGGAGAAATGCTTGCAATCCCGGAGATGATTCTTCATCTTGGACCTTCCCCAAGCTTCCTCCTTGTTTCAGCTTGCTTTTGGGTGGGAAGAAGAAGAAAAGAGAAATAGACTACTCTAAGGTGACAATTGACATGCTGAGCTGAGGAAGGGAGAACGTGAATTGATTTCTCATATTAAGCTAATCAATTGGATCGATGCTATGTCCATGTATTCCTCTATGATCACTAGGAAAGTGAAAGCGTGCTATTTATAGAAGCTTGTCTATGGAAACCTTAATGTTCTTCTTTCTTTTCTTGACATGTTTGTTAACTTTCTGGATTTCAATATCTAATAGATAGAATTGAATTAAACTTGTAGAAAGAGAGAAAAGAGTAAGACTTTCAGTTGGATGGGGTTTCCAACGAAGGAATTGTGGCTTTCTTAAGATTTACAGAGAAGGGTTTCTTTGGAATTTCGATTTTTGTGAAGAGCTTGAGAGAGAATGTGGAATGGAGAACGTGAATTGATTTCAATTTTTATTGGCAATAAGATATGAAACCTACAAGCATTGAAATTTCTATTTATAGACGAAGGATTATAAGATAAAATAAGATTTATTTAAAATGTAATTAACTTCTAAAAATAGATAAATCCTACCGTCCTATTTTAGGAGAAGATGGTCCTAGAAAATTGACTTCCTACTAATTAAATAAATAAAGGATAATTTATTTAATGGGATTGTAGTTAGATAAAATATATTGGCTAAATGTAATCTGGACTAGAATCTTGTCATGAATCTGTGCTTGGGTCTTGATGCTTCTTATGCCATATCAGTGTACGGTGCTTGCGACGTTCTTTTTTCTTCAGGAAAAGATTTGTCTTATGAGTATCTGTATTGTTATCTTTGAAGTTTTATATCTAGTCGGCTTTAAGTACCTGAATTCTATGTTATTTGCTTGCTTGAGTTTCTCTTATGTGACTTTTCTCGACTTGAGCTTAGTTTTGAATTTCAAAAATTTAGTTGCTGCATTTTCTTTATTTATTTGTTCCATTTTACTTTCTAAGCACTCATTTTGGAGCTAAGGATTTAATTAAATAGCATGAATGCCAATATCTCCCATTGTTTATACAGGAAGAATGAATACCCTAAAAGATCGCCGCCTTTTTATGAAGTAACGAATAATTCAAAAGAGAGACCAGATGTTTGGGTTGAGAGCCCTGATAAGTTAGTATTTTATTCTCATTGTTCATTGCATTTCTGTGATGTGCACCTTTTACATTATTTTCTTTATATGCAGGTCAGTTATTCTCTCTATTACTAGTGATATCAGAACAATAAAATCCGAGGTACTTGACAAAAAGAATTTGTTGTCAATTTTCAAATCTATTTTTTATAGATCTTTTTTTTCTGAGTTTCTTATGTCTTAAATATCTTATCTATTGTGAATGGAATTCCATTTGCCTAGGTTTTTGCTGCACCCTACAGTTTGAGGTTTCCACGCATACAACGTGTGAGATATGACAAGCAGTGGCATGAGTGCCTCGATGTTGAATGTAAGAAATTGGTAAAGCTGAAAAAAAAAATCTGATCTTTTATGTAGATGAAATAAATCTATTTGGGTAGAAGTATCAGTGAATGCGCAAGTGTACTTTTTTTGATGCAATGTTTGTGCTGCCATGTAATAGCAAATGCCACTGTAATATAATAATTCATTTTTGTCATTCTTTTGTTGAAATGATACGTGCTTGTCGTATTATTATTTTTTTTATTATTATCTTTTTCCTTTTCATCTATGCTATTTTAATGTAAGTGTTGCTGCTGCTGTTTTAAGGTAATATGCAAAAGAAATGACCGCACACAAGACTTCCATATTGAGTTCATCGATCCAACTGGATTATCTTTCGATAATCATTAAACTAGAGGAATTTTATGTTTGAGTCTAACTTGCTCGAAATTGATTTGCTAGTGAGCTTAAGCTGTGAGCTTGAACTCAATCTTGAGCTGATTCGGCTCATTGACTCACGAGCCAAGTTGGGTAGAGTATATATCTATACCTCAATCCCTTTCTCTCTAATCTAGTAATCTCTATTAGAGGTTAATCTCAAGCTTCCAACCAACCAAATTCTTTATTAAGTTGTTGGCTTTATCAATCTTTTTGCAATGGCTCTCACCGCTACTTCCTGTGAAATTGAGCTCGAGCTCGGGATAAATGGACAAGTGGAGCTTGAGCTTATTTTCAAACCTGAACTCAATCTAAAGTTCGAGTTTGAGCCGAGTTTTTGACGGACAAGCTGAGTTCGAGTTAATCGTGACTCGAGCTTAGCTTTACACCCCTAATTTTATTTGTGGTGGTGTTATATAGTATTTGTAAGAGAAGATTCTATATTTACCACTTTTATAAAGGTTCTTGAGATTATTTCAGTGGAGAATTTTATGATCGCCAGGTATTTGATGAGAATAATAAAACCCCGTTTCAAATCTTGAAAATATATAGTGTGTTCTAGGGAGACGTAGCCTATTGCAGTTTAAAGTTATTTTCTTTTTCGTGCACTAATTTCAGTATATAGGCCATTGTTATGTAGATGTTACCAGCATGTGGTCTTCTTATAGATAAACTTGTGCAATTAAAGTGATGAATAGAGGCCGTGTGGTTAAGTCAAAAGATTATACATGAGCTATTATTACGACGTCACTGCATCAAATTTTCATATACCAAACCCAACTGAGATAGGTTCATTGCTTTACATCCATAATTGAGCATTTATCATCATAGAACTTATTTTACTGATATTTGCATAGAACTTTCTTTATTAATTAATCGCGCATTGTAGCCAATTATCAGAGTATCAAATATCATAGGAAATATATTGGAATACATTACAGCATAAAGAAACTGCATTGAGATGTTAAATATAGATTATATATGCACAATAATATCAGGCTAAAATCAGTAGTTGAGGAAGGGTTGAAGTGTATGATAGAAGGATTTTTAAGAACATTTCAAGTTTGGAGTGCTTTCTTCCAACTGTTTGTGTGGGCTTCATTAGTATGCTTTACAATTCAATATTGTCTACAGCTAAATTTACTGTTAATTCTGTTTTATCTTTGAATGAATTGTCTCCATGTTGGCTTTTGACTCACCAAATTTTTTTCACTCTTCATCACAAATTCTCATAACATACTTGTTGTGTTTTCTTTGTTGACCACTACTTTGATGGAAGTGTTATCATTCACTGCCCTCTTATTCCAATATGACAACACCAAGCACCCTTATCCTTTCTTTAGTTTGAACCGTTACTTTTATCTTAGGTTTATATTTTTGAACTAGAAAGTATCAAAATAGTCCCCTCACTCTTTACGAGGTGTCATTTTCATCCCAAATTTTATAAAAGTTTAAATATAGCCCTCGTTTTTTTTAATATAGATTTAAATAATCGTCAATAAGGACTATTTTGGCCCACATTAAAACAATCAATGGACTAATCTATCATTTTTATAAACTTTGAGACTAAAATGACTCAATGCAAATAGCCGTGAGACTATTTTGGCACTTTGCATTTTTGAACATATGCATTATATATAAAACTTCAAAATGACTACGAACTTATAATTTATAACATATGAGTTTCTTTCTATTGAATTTAAATCTTTTTATTATTATATATCATCATATACATGGTGTATATTACTTCATCAATATATTTTTATAAATCTCATTATACCTTGTAATTAGATTAGGACTTTTTCTGTTTCAGCATTTAGGGATTTGGTGCAGTCAAGCAATGGCACTACACAACGGAGAGTAAATCAAGGAGCTTTGCAACAACTTAATGGAAAGCCCAAAAGGATAGCAAGGAAAGGAGAAAAAAGAAGCATTTCTGTCATCACACCCCACTCCATCCAGGCTGATGTCTCTGCTGTAAAGAAGACGTTGATATTTGCAAATATGATGTTTTGTATCCTTGTGATCTTATTTTGCCTTCTATTTGTTTAAGAGTAAAGTGCTAAAATAGTCCCCGTGCTATTTTAATGCAAGCTAAAATAGTCCTCACTAGCTATTATTTCAAATCATATTAAAAGTATCTGAGGACTAAATGTACATTTTTATAAATTATGGGTCTAAAATGACCACCTATGAAAAGTCTGGGATCATTTTGATACCCTTCTCATTTTTTTTACCATTATATGCGAAAACATGATTGCTTCAGCTCGTATTTTCTTTCTAGCTTTATTCCATGTTGTCCTATTGTTATTTTTTGTATCTGTTCCTTAGCTAGTATAGATTTCGTGAATGTTCCCTCATCTTCTTCAGTAGATTATTTCCACAGACTAGTAATTGAGAATGCAGGAAAATTTTCTATGAATCTTAATGATACAGTAACTCATTGCATCGCAGCTGAGAAAAAAGGTACTTGATTGTCATCCTTACAATGTCCAAACTATTAATGGAGTGTTCATAATTCCCAGGCTTTTCTTACCCTCCATTTTGCACCCTAAACTTTTGAAGACTCCGGCTTTTTTTCTCTCTATTCTTTGATAGGCTGATAAACCAGATTAGAGAATTAGAAAGCCTTGGATCAAAAAGAGCACAACCTAAATATTTGGGGAACTAATTTGATTATTTTTTTCTTTTAAATTTCTATTAATGTCCTGCTAATTGCAAAACCTACACAACTCACAGGCATTAAATATCAAGCAGCCATACGTCATGGGGATATCATCCATTATTCTTGGTTTTTGGACTGTTGCAATCAAAAGAAACTTGTGCATTTACAACCCAAGTTGGTTTTAAATTGAATTTTTCCGCCTTTTTTTTTTACTTTCAGTTAATTGAGACCTTAGAATAATTTTATTTTCGTCTACTATGGAGGTACTTTTTGTTTTTTGCTGATTCTTCCAAGAAGAAGTACCAAGAGGAGATTGATGCATTCTCTGATTATTATTACTGGGATGTTGACATTGAAGATATAAAACAGGTAAACTTCTATAGCATACTGTCAGATCTTATTTAATTTCATGAGACTATTTAATTCCATTAGACCATTTAATGTCAGTTTAATAAAAATTGGTGTAACTAAAAGATGAATATGGTCCAAGAGAACAGGAAAGGTAGAGGGATGGAGTTGAGGAGATGGACTAGATTGCCTCAAAAGGAGGTGACACGGGACTCACCTGAGGCTCGATCGGTTTAGCAAGGGAGTCACAAGGAACTAGCCAGCCCTTTTTTCTAGTTAGGGTTGCGACTCAAGCGAAGGGGTTTTAGTTTTTCTCTCTGATTTTAGATTTTTGTCCAGCTTGTCGTCGCCGGTTGTTTTCCCTTCTAAAGCTATATCTGAGGGCTAGGTGGTGCTCCGTGTCATGACCCAACTTGAGGCTTTGAATTAACTAAAATGAGAACAGACAGTCGAACAATTTGAATTAAATTTTGTATATTCACGTACAATTTAATAGAGGAAAAAACTACTAATCAATTTATATTAAAGCAGTATAATTAGATTTATCTCGTTACAGGTTATTTACATCTTCTATACACATTTTCTCTTCTATTGTTCATCTTTTAATCAATTAAATTAACCTGAAAAGTTATCTTAAAATAAATTTGAGCTAAACAAACTAGTGAATACTCATACTCCTGAACTATAATAATACAATGGAAAAAGAAAGCAATATGCATGTCAGTTAAAACTTTTTAACAAATTAATATAAATATTTGACATGTTATTCAATGAATCTTAGTATATCAATATCATTCTATATCTATATAACCATTATAGGAGCACCGTCTAAAATTTTGTACCACTTAAGGTACTCTAATATCAATATCATTTTTCATTTACATGCACAGATATATTAATGTTTTCCCACTAGTACCATCAATGGGTGATTTCATCAATTAGTCATGCACATACAATTAATCTATGCAAATTTTATCATTCATAATTTCATATCACTCATGTAGTACTATAATGCATTAAATATTTCACAATATGAGTTTATAAACATTCACATCTAAATGACTGATAAAATTTAATAATAGTAAAATTAATTGCATTAATCAAGCATAAATAATAGCCCATAAAACTGGTTTATAAGAGTACCCACCTTGATAATGATTAGTCTTTTATTTGAATTCTCTTGACGTCGAGCCTTATAAAAATTGAAAGCTTAACATGATATTAATGTTGTCAGAAATTTTATTTATTTATTTATATTATTTTAGTTGGCTAAGTATAAAATTTTATTTATGTAACCCCACTTAAATTTTCTATTATATATATATATAAACAAATATTTTTTATTCCAACGAATGTCGTCGTCTCGCCGCTCTGCTAGGTTCCGCCTCATGGCGAACCCTAGCGTTTCGATTGTCATTGCTACTCCAATCTCCATGCGTTGGCGTCGTCGATTGCGGCGAAGAAGACGTGAGCTGCGTCGTCTTCCACGCGTCGCAGCACCATCATCTGCGTCACCTAGAGATTTGTTTACACAAGCCTTCCACCAGCATTGTCGACCTCTCGCTAGAGTTCGCGGCTGCCTGTGTCTGCGTCTGTCTGTGTCGATCGACAGCTTGCTGAAGAAATGGATTCAAGACATTCCTACGCAGCTGCGCTCGTGAGTGATAACCACGTCTCCGCCCCTTTTTCGAATATGTTTCCGCAATGATACCACGACAATTTTGTTCTTGGCATTGTAATCGGATTTCTCAAAAAAGCTTCCCGTAAAAACGGGAACCTGCAATCTTTCTCACTGAGGCAGAGATCTCCACCCTAGCTGTGCCCTGCCGACTGTTCTTAGTAGGTAAGTTTCTTTATGGAAACTCTAAACTCTAATTCGAAAGGACTTTGAGCAAATGAAGCTGAATGGAGGTTGGAAAATCGGTAAATTGGATGGTCGCCACATTCTTATTCAATTATCAAATGACGAAGACTACATCTATTTATTTGCGAGAAGAGTTCTTCGAATAGAAAACCAGGTGATGAAGGTTTTAAAATGGATGGTGGATTTTGATCCTTGTACTAAATCTCCTACCATTCCTGTTTGGCTGCGCTTCTCAGGTTTGAAGATCCACCGTTTTGATCAATAGTTTCTCTTCGCTTTAACGATAGTATACGGTAAACCCCTCAAAGCTGACATGCCTACAGTGAATCTGACTCGGCCTTTAGAAGCCAAAATTTTGATAGAAAATGATATTACTTCATCTTTTCCGGGAGAAATATGGATTGACACACAACATCAGAGATTTTGGCAGCAAGCATAACTTGAACAGATACCACTTTATTGTACTCACTGTCGTATG